CTCCCTGCACACACGGAAAGTGTACACACCAGGGAGGAAGGGGGAGTTGTTTTGGTTTTGTTTCTCTTTCTAATGTAAAGTGGAGTTTTGTCCAGGTTTCTGAAGTCGGGGAGGCTGGATGGACTCCTGACGCTGTTGCCCTGAGATCATCTTGTAGCCTTAAGCCAAAAATCATGTTTACCAAACAACAGTGGTTAAGTAATAAACAATAATGTTTAGCTTAATGGACACTGAAGGTCTGGTTGTGTTCTCACAAAGAACATCTCAAAGGCCAAACAAACCACATTCATTGTCATCTAGTCCATGCTGACTCCGTGAGTCTATAGGACAGGGTTGAACTGCCCTCCTGGGGTTTCTGAGACTGAGTCTATAGGACAGGGTTGAACTGCCCTCCTGGGGTTTCTGAGACTGTAACGCTTTACAGGAGTAGAGAGCCCTGTCTTTCTCCGAGGAGTAGCTAATGGTTTTGAACTGCCGACCTTGCAGATCACAGTCCAGTGCATAACCACTACACCACCAGAGTTACTGAGAACATCTAAAGGGCTCGAACTAACAAGAGCAACTTGAAAGAGTAGATGAGAAGCTTAGGGTCAGGAGGGGTGCACGGGGTTGGGGGGCAGTTTCTGTTAATGGGGGAGGAACAATTTGGAAAAGGAAGGTATGGATGGTTATACAACTTGAAGAATATAATCAAAGTCAATGAATTGTAGCTAGAGAAATTGTTTGATCAGTATATGCTTTGCTGGGTAGATTCTCAACAAGGATTTTTAAAAATTCTCTACCTGGCTTAACAGCCCCCTCAAGGACTCCCTGGGAATAGAAGTTTTTGTTTTTGTTTTCTCATTTATTTTTTTTAATTTTAATAAATCATTTTATTGGGGGCTCTTACAGCTCTTATAACAATCCATACATCCGTTGTATCAAGCACATTTGTACATATGTTGCCATCATCATTTTCGAAGTATTTTCTCTCTGCTTGAGCCTTTGACATTAGCCCCTCTTTTTTCCCCTTCCGCCCCCACCCTCCCACCCTCATGTACTCTTGATATGTTATCAATTATGTTTATTTTCATATTTTACACCGTCTGCTGTCTCCCTTCACCCGTGTTTCTGGGACAGACATTTCATGCCTCTGCCTCAGCGTGCAGGTGATCTGAATTGCTGGGATGTTCATCCAGAATGTTCCCAGGCTCTTCTGCAGCCCACTCTTCAGCCATTCATTGCACATGACTGGTTCTCCCTTGGGTTTGGGTCCA